GCGGCGTGGGGCACGCAGGGGCACTGGTCCCTGCACCCCGCGGGACGCGGGCCCATCCCGGCGACATTTGCTCGTGGAACGAAGCCCGTCTCCTCTAACACAGCTTGTTTCCCAGGAATTGGCCCATACTGAATAAAATAAATAAATCACAAGCATTTTGTGAAGGGAAAAAAAAGAAGTTCCTGCTGTACATAACTCGGGGGAGCAGATGTTTTTCCATTAGCTCACTGCTCTCTGCTGCGTTGGCTCCCTTTACATTTCTCATTTATGGCGTGTTCATTAGAACGTTTTTTTCCTTCTCCTAGCATGAACTTCCAGCCCGTTTCTGAGACGGCAGGTAGCGGTCTGCAGCCCCCGCTGGGAGCGCCCGGCACAGGTATCCCGGCCGTTTTTCCTCCAAGTGCACCTTTAAGCGAGCGCAGCTCTACCTGGGGAGGCTGCAGCCCGCGCTGCCGGCCTGGAGCCAGGCTTGGATCCAATTACCAGCCCTCCTCCGCCGCCAGTGGCCATATTTGGTAAAGTATCGGGTTAGTCAAGAAGCTGAATTGGCAGATATGAAGTACTGGTAAAGACAAACAAAGTGGACATTGTAGTAAAAAAGCAAAAGCTTAAAATAATACAGCAACAGGAGCTGGAGTAATAGCGCTCTTATTAAAACTGGCTCGCAGCTTTCTAAAACATGCTGTATAAATAGTGCAAGCAGTTATTACTGCCTGGAAATATAACCACACATCCTTCAGATAAGAAATCACTCCAGCTACCCAAAGAACTTAAAACTTTCTTTTTAAAAAAAACCTTTCTGCCCCTGCTTTGCTCTCTGGGTCAAAAGTGGTCTTGTAAAAATGTAGATTAAAGGTAAATTCTGGTCATAAATTCAAACCATTACAAATACATACTCCTTAGCAGACAAGCATGGCTGTAATTTCTAAACAGAAAAGAGGAGAACTGGAATGCGTTCAAAAAGGGAAAAAAAAGGGGTACAAGCAGTCCCATGGCCAGAGATTTCTCTCTGTAACGGTAGCAGCAGCATCACCTGCAACCTCCAGGACCCCTCTTGCAGCTCTTCAGGCAACAAGTGGAAGGCACTAACAAGCTCTACCAAAGGCACCGGAGTTTCTTCCCTCCCAGTTGAGTTCAAGCCGTCAGCCATGCAAAGCTGACCAAGAAGAAGAAATGGGCTCTGGCGAGATGCAGGTATGTGGCCTGGAGCTGCACCTGCCTGAAGGCCGCAGCGCTCCCCCAAAATGGGGCTCTGAGAAAGAGGGGCTCTGCTTCTTGGGCTTGGGGCCAAGGATAACATTGGGGATTTCTAATGAAAAAGCCTAATAAGAAGCCATCATATTTCGAGAGGACAAGAGAGCTCTACTAAAAGGGATGAAAGAGGCACTAATAGCCTTTGCTGCAAAACCTGTAGAATGGGCAGGGTAGGCCTGCTAGCTGTCCTCCAAACACACCTGAGACAGAGACTGAGAGGTGGTGGAGTCTTCATCAGATACTCAGAACCTGATGGGCATGTCCTGGGCAACTGCTCTAGGCGACCTTGTTTGTGCAGGAGGTTCAACCAGAGGGTTTTCACAGGTACCTTCCAACCCCAGCTCTTCTGTGCAACCTGCTATGTTCACTCCTGCAGATGACTGATCTCCAAGCTGGTCAACAAGAAGTGGGTGGACATATGATTAATAGCAAGAAATTGGCTTAACTGGGATGTGTGCAAGAGAAGAGAGCTCTTTCTAGAGACCAAAGAGGTATCAAGCACCTCCTTGGTTCCTTATTAGAGGCTACAAAAATATGGGTTGGACTAGATGATCTCTAAAGGTCTTTTCTAACCATAATGATTCTATGATCCTATGATTAGCTTGCAGACTGGCAAGAAAAAATCCACTAGGCACTGTAGTGAAAACCAAGAGGCAACATACATTATGGCACAGCACTTTTGGAATGACAGTTACACTTCCAAAGCTTCTTCTTTATCATCATCATAACTGCTGGGCATAATCACAAAAAAGTTAGAGATTACAACATGTAGTCTATGTTACTGCTTATGTGCAAGAGAAGCATCCTAATTACAGCGGGTAAGAGAGTAGCACAGTTCACAGGCTCAGCCTTCAGCCGCTGCTCAGGGAAAGCACAAGCTCTCGGGCACCAATTGCTAAATAAGTTGAGAGCACAAGGAGGGCTTCCCGGCTCCGAGCTGAGGATTGCTTTGCTTCAGGGTGCAGGTTCAGGGTGAGGCAGTAACCGCTCCTCGCGGTCAGCTCCACCTCGCAGCCCCACCACACACAAACGCTTCCTGTGCTGCCGCTTGTGCTGGCTCTGCAGCCAGGTTTCATTGCTGGAGGGCAGCAAGAAGAGCCTCATATGGCCTTGGGATAGTCTTTTTCTTTTGGTATGTGTTTTTTCCAGCATGAGCACAGAGCGCGCTAACTGGATCCGTCAGTTGGTACCATTAGTTTTCGGCCTTGGGATATGAAGAGGCACGGGAGCCGTAATGGCTTTAATGGAACACAGAGGGGATTAGAGGCCATGCCTACACACAGAGGCATGGCCAGCTGCATCCTGTTAGCGTCTTTCCTATGCTTAGAGAAGATGGATGCTTTGTATAAATTCACTGTACGAGGTTAGGAAATTGTAATGATTTTATCTAAACATGTATGAGTCATCCTAAAAAGGTTATAGTGTTAATAACAACAACAACAAAAAACAATAAACAAGTCATTTCCCAAAGGCAGATGAACGCTGTCCTTCCTTAGAGATAGGAAACTGAGGTATGAAGTCAGGCAATTTGCCTAAAGTCGAGGGATGAGTCATCGACGGAAGGAGCACAAGTCCAAGCTAAACCCAATTGAAATTTCCAGCGCACTGATGTGGATCTCTCACGACTATGAAAGGACTCTGGACGCAGGTGTGCTGATCACCTGTTGCTTTACATAGCTCTTCATTTTGGGGGAGCTGCAATGCAAAAACATTTATAGTGACCTCAACTGCTGTTTACTCACTTTTTTTTTTTTTAATGTTACGTTCTATTTTGGAATTAATTAGTTTCTTATGAACATACATGTTCCTCCTGTTCCCTCCTTCCGCATGGGAAGGATTCCAGTAGACAAGGCCAGTGATACTCTTTTGGACCCTTCTGCTCACTCAATCCAGTTCAAGATCCATGGTACTGTTAGCACAGAATGGGCAGGACCTCAAAGGAGCTCATTAAACTGCATCCCATAACAACCGACTTCTGTAATGAAACTGCACAGCAGTTAGAGTGTATGTGTGCAAAATATCAATCCTGATTTGAGATCAGGTAAGAGTAAATACAAAACAAAGCAAAGATTAAGAAAAAGATGGACTAACACAGAAAAGTTACAGTAGATAAAAAGAAATCCTAGTTAGAAGAATTTAATTAACACTTTGGAGAAAGGCACACAGTGATTCACAGAGAAAAGTAATTGTAACCATTCACAGCTGGGTCGCAGCAAGCGCTAGGTCTTTATTGCTTTTGTCTTTTCACACTGCAGCAAAAATGTAAACTGCCTACAGCAATCTGCAGCATGATGGACAACAGACACCCGACTTCTCACTACAATAAGCTCCGCTTTATTTCTCCCACTAACCTCCTCTCCGCTCTTGAGTCAGGAGCATAAATCGAATAAATCAAAGCCTTAGTAGTGATTTTGAAGCCCACAAGCAAATCACTGAAATTTGCTTGCTCACAAGCAAATAGGTGAGCAAGCGCGATTAACGTAAAGGATTCATTCCATAAGGTGATTTCTTTTGTTCTTTAAATAGCCATATTCTAACAAAAAGAATGCAATGTATTTTATAGAAGTGAAGTCTAATTCGTAGAAAAAGGCCCACAAAACCAGCTATTAAAATCTTTCCTGAGAATAGCGTGAGACTGCCAGGTTTTACATGAGAATTGCCAACTGTACAGATTAGCAAAATGAGAATTTGAAAGGTTCTCCTGCATACCAGAACAGCAAATTATCAGCTAGGTTCTAGCAGGCTCTGCTCTTTTCTTGTTGTGAATGGTAGCACAGAGATCTAAGAAGTAATCAGAGCACTCTAATGTAATTTTAGGTACACAATTGTGGGCCCAGTTGCAGAAGGAAAGCTGCATGTCTAAGAGCAAAACTGCAGGGTCAGAATATTTAATCCATCCTGAAATTCTGGAATGTAAATGGCAGAATATGCTGAGTTCCTCACCGAGTGCCCTACGTAAAACCCTTTCACAAGTTTGGAGGTCACCCCTGGGGAGAGCTCTTTCTCACCACACAAGCACAGCTGAGATATCCCTGCAAGACTGTCTCAAACTGACATGCAGTCTACGAGTCCCCGGGAAAAAACAGCCACGGAAAAAATGAGTGGAGGACTTTAACTTACTTACTGATTTTCACTTAGCACTCAGCTAAGACTGGAACATTCCCAGTCTAATAATGTTTAACATGTGGCTTGCCCAGTCCTATTAAGGGGAAATAAGAAGCAAAATGAAAATAAGTACCCCTATCAACTACCATTTGCTCTGCCAAGCCTCTTCTTTCAAAAACATATTTTTCTGAAGACTAAAGTTTTCCATGTATTAAGAAAAAAATAGAGATAAGCTGAAAAATCACACTACCCCAATTACATATTTGTTAGATTGAATGAAATAAATGCTATTTAAAAAAACAGCTGGGGTAGATGGACAGATTTTATTCTGGTATAAGATGCTGAAGTAGCCCTGATTTCAACTACTTCATTAATATTTATGTTGTCTTATTCAAACTGACACCAAAAACGCCATCAGGAAACACTGTCACCTTTGAATTTCATGAATAAGAGGCATATGGAGAACATCCACAAAGCAGTATTTTAACGTGTGAAGAAAAGAGAAACCTCTTCAGAATTAGAGCTTCCTCAGCCTTTGCTGAGGATGTCACACTTTTAAGAACAGTTTTTGCATGGTCTCTGCCGCTGGATGATGGACAGAAGGGAATTCCAGATTGTCCACAAACACCAGGACTACTTACCAGCTTGTAGCCAGATTTGTTCAAGAGTTGTCCACAGCTGCATAGGTCCTTGTTTCAGTGCAGTGCTCTGCATGGTTATTTCAGACATGGCCTGTTCCAGTCTTGATGCAGCAACAGAAGAGGCTCGCTGTGATCCTACAGACCAAACAAATTCAAAAGATCAGAACATTTTTATACTTCATAATGTTTCTTTGGCTCATTAGACAGCAGGCCCGATTCTCCACTCCTCTGCATCAGTTTTGTGTCTTAAGACTTCCACTGACACTTGGTGCAACCACTGGGAGAACTTGGCTTTATAAAAGGTTAATTCATTGAAAACAAACAAACAAACAATAAACCCCACCAAATTGCTAAATTACTCAAAAGCTGCAGCTCAAAAAAGTGAATTAACAGACAGACAGCAATTTTATAAAGGTCAGCCTAATATCCATTGGGGAAGCAACTGTATTTTTCTTGTTTGGACAGTAGGATCCTCTCACTGGATACATCATCATAATACCTATTAATATTCTGCTTTATAAGCACATCTTCACCACACAATTACAAAATATGGCCCATTAATGTACAATCTTAGTAAAACACCACAAAGTAGGTAGGGACCATTCATATAACACAGAGATTCAAAGTGACATCAATACAGTTCTATAGCTTGTTTTTTTTTCCATTTGCTTTGACTATGTTAACCTTTACTACGTGCGGTAACATCTATGCAAAAGTAAAATTGGCAACCACATGTCTGAAAACAAAACGTCGTGTCACATCTACTCCCAGAAATAATGTCTGGACAGAGATTATAGCCTCAAGTACAGTGTGCAGGATTATGCTGGTGAGCCAGTCTCTCACAGGAGGACCAAGAGAGCAAAGCAAGAAGCTACAAAATGAGATTTCAGAGTTTGATTTCTAAAAGTTTTGGAAAATAAATAATTTAATGTATGCAGCTTTAACATGACTCTAAGGTTGAAAGCACTCTCTCTTGAGAGTTACTGTGACTGAAGCCCTCACCCTGCTTAGTACAACTCTTCAATTTATCCCTACAGGATGACCTTGTAGACCACAAGATCTTGGAGCTAAACCTGCTTCTTCTTGCAGAACAGACATTGAAGAAATAGCAGATCTTAAAAACAGACATTTGGAGAAGTTGGGATGGTTCTGTGCAAGCGAAGGACAGCAGGGTAAAAACCCGGTTGCACATATGCACACTAAGCAGGCTTTTTGAAGGGAAGCGGGTGCTTTCCCAGCTGGAGAGCGCTGAGGACACGCAGCACGATCACGCACGGGGACCGGGCTGGAGGCAGACGAAGCAGCTCGGTCCCCCGGACGGCGCTTGTGCGAGCACCGAGCAGCCTCCTGCACGAGGGCAGCCCCGTTTCTGCGCACACGTGTTTGCACAGACACCTGCGCGGCGCAGGGCAGAACGCAGCCCACGGCTTTTATGCAACCCGAGGCACTGCTGCCTGCCTGTGAGAAAGATGAATGTCTAGGGAGAGGCTGCGGACGCAGCTCCCAGCCCCGGGGAAATAGCTGTGCCATTATCTCACTGCTAACGAATGCCATTCATTTTGAGCAGAAGAACTTCAAAACGAGCCCTGCAGTGCTCAGAGCACGCGCCTCCCACGGCTCGCTTGGAAAATGCAAATGTGCTCTTCCTCGATGCATTTTTAAAATTCCTACGTGTTTTCTAAGACATGCCTGATCTAACGCTCCAAGAGATGACAAAGCAGTAATGTAGTAATTACGGCTTTAATGGTACAGTAAAAGCTGCTCAGCTTTGTACAGCAAATTTATTTTATTTAACAGTTTATTTAACAGATCAATCTTCAGCCTGTTTCACTGTATGGAATTCCTCCCCCTGCCCATCCCACACATGCTCTTCTCCCTCCCTCCACTTAGCAGATATCTCACTGAAACATGACTCCAAGGAATTCTAAGTCAGAAAAGGGTTGTTTAATATAGGAAAAACTAATAGGCACTCATCCCAAGTAATGCAAAGCCCCAGCAGCATTTCTTCCACTGGATATGCAACAAGCAGTTTGCCATGTGAATGGCTGCTGATGCTGTTCAGGAGCATTCAAAGCTAGGTCTGGCTCACCATAGATGATGGCACCCTTAGAGCGCTTCCCCTTCTGAATCAATCCAAGGGGACTATGCCACCATAAGGCAACTTGCTGCATCTTGGAGAGGCTCACATAAGGCTGTGAGGCTGAACAGCTGCTGCCATTCCAGTCCTTTGATGTTTATTTTTCCTTGCTATTCAAACTCAAGCAAGGAAGGAAACCACACGAGGCAGAGAGGAGAGGACCCTTCCTGTCCTTGCACGGTATCAGGCTCCTTGCTCCAGGTGCATACACGCCAGGTGGAAAGGCTGCATCCACCCCAGCCTACACACACAAGCTTGTTCCCGCCCCTCTTCTCTGCTCCCAGGAATGCTCCCAAATGCTTCCCGGCCCAGGATAACACTTCAGGAGAAGGTCTTGGCCAGCCTGGCCTATTCGGAGTGCAGCAGGCACCAGCTCTATCGGCCGGCGGGCGGCACGGCAGCCCCTCGGACGCGGCGCCGCCGGAGCCAGGGGACGGGACTGGCAGCGCTGGAGTCGGGCAGGATCACACCGCTGTGGCTCCCATCCTGCGGGGAGGGAGGGAGAGCGAAAATGCACCGAGCGCCAGGGAGAAATGGCTCTGTTTCATTGCAAAATGTCTTTCCTAAAGAAATATGGATCTTTCCATACTAAAAAAAAAAAAAAGGCGGCCTAACAGAACTTTAATGTCAGGCCTAATGTCATACATGCAAATGCTAGCATAAGAAGATATCACTTCATTTTATTATTTTAGTGCAAGTTTCTTCTCTTTTTAATAACTCCACAAGACAAAGCATAAATTTCACACTTTACAATAAAGCCCTCCCCACGCTTTCAAAAAAAAAAATTGGTTTTGGTGTGGAAGAGCTCAGAGTATAAGCCATATGAGATATACCTAAATAATTTTAAAGCATTGTTTTAAGATTGTCATAAGACCAAAAAGAATCAGGTTTGACAATTTACGTCGATGAAAAAAATGGAAATCAAAATAGAAATGAACCACAGTAGATTTACTAGGCTTATAAGAAACACAGAATTCCCTAGTCTAAATCAATTCAGGCAAGAGCATTATAAGATAAGACTAAATCACAAAAAGAATGAAAGAGCGAGGCAGCTGACTGCTATCAGTGAATTCAGCTAGGAACACTGCTTCAGTCAGCGGGAGATGAAGAAAATAAAGAGGAATTAATCATCCTGGCAGCCAAACTAAATTTCTAGCACAGCAAATAATCTCATTGCGGCCTAACCGAGGGGGAGGCCGGTGCCCAGCACAGATGCGGTAACCCCCGCCTTTGGTGACAGCGCCCGGGCACTGCAGCGACACGGCCGCCTGCTCCCGGGGGATTTCAGGGGAGAAACTGCTGCCTACTCCAGGATGATGCAAAACCCAGACCCCCTCCCTCCTTCAAAGCAGCAAGAGCAGACGAGGCACAGGGCAGAGCTGCACTCGCCACTCTTCCCTCCTCCCGTGTTCAGAGGGCCCAGGCGGGACAGCACCTCCCGCTGCCGCAGAGGAGAAAGGCCGCAGCCTCTGGCACCGCCCTCACCCCATCGGGGTGCAGCTCCACTAGCACCAATACCCAGATTCTCAGAGGAAGAGGAGGGGAAAGATTCCTCAGCTACAGCCAAGCTGCATTCAGTGCAAGTCATTTTACATGTGTGAAAAGCTGCTTTAAGGCTCATACTTCCCACTGATTCGCTCCTTCTGGCATGCAGCACCACAGTGCACAGCACTCAGCACCGAGCTGCCCAGCGTGCCGGCTGCCAGGCCTGGGGCAGACACTCACCTGGACCCCTGGCTGCAGCAGCATGGGACGGAGCGCGGCGGTGCCTGCGCTTTGCTCGGGAGGAGGTGCTGCAGGTCAGGAAAGCTGCAGGAGCCACACGGGAGGGCTGCGGAGGAGATGCTCCCCGGAAGGAGCTCTTAGGAAGGCAGCGCCCCCGAACATGGAAACGTTATTTGGGCTCTGCTGGTGACAAGCGCTCTCAAAAAAACGCAGCTGTGCTGCGAGATGGGTGCAGCTCGAGCCTGGCCACGCTCCTCTCTCTGCAGCCCGCTACAAAGCAAGGCAAGGGATTCCTCAAAGAACAAGAGCACCCTCTGCTAGAGCTGAAGGAGCAGGGATAAACCCAGGATACAACCAGGCTGAGCACCAAAAGCCAAGCACTGCCCCCGTAACACAGCAGGAACTAGATGGACACAAATGTGCTGTGGCGTAATCATTTTTTTTGTTTTGTTTTCTATTTCTTTCCCAGATATGCTTAGTGAGATGTTTCTGCAAACTATCTACAGTATCTTTCAAACCACTTTCACAGCACGTATCCATTAAAACTGAAAGTCCATTTTACTGCCCTATACCAGAGATGAGAGGGATATCTGCAGGACTTCACCGTTACCTTCAAATGATTTTGTATCACCAGGAAACTTCTTCCCACCACATTCACTCGCTTTTCCAGATCATTCTCAACATGCCAAACAGCATGTCATGTAATTCATTCAGGACATCCCCTTTACCTGCCTGTGCTGTGTTTGTCCTTCACCTGCGCTGTATTTATCTTGTTGCCTTTAAGTAAGCTGAATACCACAGAACATTGATTCATACAAACAATGAGAAAAAAAGGATTTAAACCAAATATGGAGACTCACCTCAGCAAAGGGGAGTGGCATAAGCAGATCAAAAATTACAAAAATATATGTATAAAGAATCAGTAAGATTACAATGCCATAAATACAGACCCTAAGGGCTCAACACTGCAAACAAAAGAGCAGACACACTGAATAACATTGTGATGCCCAAGTTTTTGTATGCTCAAGACCTGCCCTTGCAATGCATTTTAAAAATTAGGGGAATGTAAATGGGGTTACACACATGTAATTGAAGTCAGACATATATATATGTGTGTGTATATATATAGACATGTAATACATATACAACTATACATGTAATTGACTAAAGGTCAGACATATATATACACACATATACATACATATACATGTATGCATGTATATGTATACATATATATGTATGACTTTTATTCAATTTTACATATATATATGTAATATTGAAGAACTTGCCTTCCTCTCCAGCTCTGTATGCTGAGTATGTGCATTCAGTTTTGCCAATATTAGATGTCCAAGATTAAGACCTGAACAAACCATTATCTCGTGACTTTGAAGCATAAGGCTTGCTTAAAAGCTTTTAAAAATAAGTACATTTTCATACTTTTTGTCCATTTTTGGAACTTGTAATGGTCTTTTTTCCCCCCTAAGTATTTCTCTGTATCTGTAAGGGTATAAAGTTTCTTCCCTAATATATAAATAAGTAAATAGCAAGTTTCTCGCATAATTATCTGCTTTTGAGAGATGGGGTTTTAAAGGAAACACTAGATATCATGAGACTCATGATAAAATCACAAGTCAGCAGCATAGTTCTGAAGTCTCCTTCACCCAAGATTAGCTTTGATGTCTCAGTTGTTTATATCTGATGGTATGTGCTACTGTCGCTGTACGTTTTCCATATAGCAAGCATCACACAGTTTATGCACAAATCCATGACCCAATCATGGCTCTAGTAGAAATGACATTCACGTTCAGCTTTCCAAAAGCAGAATATTAGCTGGCATGATCAGGACACTTAAAATGGTTAAAGCTGTGAGGGGACCAAATTAGTTATTGCAGAGGTGTAATAAACTCTTCATGCTTGTCTCAGAGCTTTGTAAAAGAAAGCAGGAATCCATGTCTTTGTTTTTATAACTGGAGACGCCAAGGTACAAATAAACCACAGTGACTCACTCAGCGGCACAGAAGTAACCCTGCAACAGGTCCGAGAGAAGAATCCAGATCCTGACTCCCATTCCAGAGACGCCCCCACCAGAAAGTCTCTCATGAAAGTACATATTTAGGATGGGCAAGCAAAAACCTTGTTTCCTCACCAGAATCAGTGTCATGAGCATCCGGGATTGTGAGGTGCATTCCGTTATGCTTTTTGATCATTGGCACTTCTGTCACACTACTTTCTTTCTCGGAGCCACTGTAAAGAAATAAAACCCGTGTCATTTAACCACCTTGCAGCGGGGAGACCATATTTTCCTCAGAGCAGGCAATAATTTCATCTAACTTCCACTGGATCTGAAAACTCAATCTTCCTGGTGCAGGTAGCTCTTGAACGGGTCATCTTAACATCCCCAGCCCTCCAAGTGGAGCAGAAATCAAACGTTCAGTGACACTGTGCCAGCAAGGTCTCCAGGAGATGTTGCCACCAGTGATCTATGTAACTGCTGGGGTCTTTGTGAACCACTGCACAAGCCTGGAGGCAGATCAGAGAACCCCCTGACACCCCCCAGGAAGCATCACTGTCCCTCGGGTTCATCTGCAAAGGATTTGTTCACAGGACCCCTACACTTCCGCACAGGTGCAAATTTCCTCACTTCAAAGGGATTGTGTTCTCCTCCTTGGGAGAAGGAGGAAAATAAAAGCTACTACATAGCACTGCACTATCAAAGGAAGAATATCTTCTCTGCTCTTTGACTTGACTTCTGTACTCAGCAGAGGTCTTCTAAAGGAAATGCCGATAAAACCTCAGGTGCCTAAATGGAAACCACTTAACGCAGATCTCCTGAGCCTTCCTGTCACCACACAGACTGCCATCGCCCTGGGATCAGATGGTGATGATACCTCCTCTCATCATCCATTAAGGGGCAAACTATCAAAAGGAAAAGTCACTGTCCTTGCCACTTTTTCTGGCACACTTCCAAGTGCACAGCTCAGCCTTCAGTCAATGTTGCCTCAGGAAAAAAGTTATCACAGACCCCCTGATTGCTCTGGATGCCCACTTTTCTAGTCTAATCCGGCCTCTGGTATGGATTGTACAAGACTGCCTTTGAATTTGCATTAAGCTAGCAAAAGAATTAGCTTGAGACTGCTATTTGGTTTTAAACACGATTATTCTGTTATCACAGAGAACAACAACAAAAGATAAACAAAATCTTGTTCTTGCCAGCTATACAGTCTGGTGCTGACAGCTCCTTATTGTCATTCACGGCAGTCATAATCATATTTACAATAGCTAATTAACCTTTTATTTGGGCTTTGTAATCCAAATTAGAGTTTTTGTTAGCGGGCCCTGAATTCCTGGGCAGTTGGACTTGTTCACACAAACCTCTGGCCTTGTACTGTTTCACACACTGACATTGCATTTGAAATTACCATGCTGTGGAAGATGTAAGGAAAAACTACATTATCTGTGCTGCACCTCTGCCTTACCTAGCCTTGGCTGGGAGCCGCCCATGGAATGATCGGTGTATCCCCATATTGCAGGTGCTTTAGGGATGGTCTGCCATTAAGTGTGGCAGAGGCCTGTAAAAACCTAACTGTTGTGAGGTAAAACATGTTTTGGTGCGGTAATCAGCACCAAGATGTCAGTGTTTCGGGCATATGGCCAAACACCAACTCATACATTAGGTGCCAACGTAAAGGGCAGCTGAGGAGACGGCTGGATAGCGTAGGTTTGGTCACAGTCAAAACTGACAACAGGAGGTGAACATTCAGAGTAGTCTTGACAGGGTGGCTTTGGTCAACAAAATGCATCTTAATTCAGCCAAAAACATGGCCTTTTACCTGGGAAAGCAAACCGAAATCGCAGCCTAATAAGCAGGTGGAGCATATTCTGCAAAACAGTAATTCCCAGAGGCTTTATAGTCCCTGAAAAAGGCTGAACACGAGCTCCTCCTTCAAAACTGCAGCAAGGCCTTAAGCCAAGAATGACTTTCCGCACACCAAAGAAGGGACAGCAGCCAAGGCATTTGCCACATGTGTATGACACTGGAAAGGCTGATAGTGGGATGCCACATGCAGCTCCAACGGCCGTGTTTTAAAAGGCAGTTGAGAGAGTAAATAAAAACAGGCACAAGAGCTGAAGGAAACACTTCACTGTTACTATTACCCAGACTGTTACTCACTCATAAGAAAGAAGACAAGAAAGAACTGGAGCATGGCCTATCCGTATCTGCCTGGGGAGAAAATACCAAGCACTGGAAGGCTCTTTAGTGAGAAAGTCATAATAAGACTGCAAAGCTGGGACACTAAAGCCAGACAAATGCAACCAAACATAATTAAAATGCAACTTTACAGTATAAGTCATTAGCTACTGACTGAATTTGTGAAGTGTTGTGTACACCTGATCCCATTTTCTTTACACAAAGGCTGTCTTCTTTTTTTCAAGAGGCCCTAAAAAAACCTGTGTCCAAATACTACTGACAAAAATTTCCCCTTAAGTTCCTATAAAAATCCAATCCAGAGTATTTTGTTACTGTTAGTTGATACTGCTGCAATTTGCTTCAAACAAGAGGCTTCCCAGGTCACTGAATCTGGTCTTTAATACTGCAGGTACTAATTTCATTCTTGTTACTCTACAGGCAGTATCTCCCAATACAGAGCATGGCATGCAGTATTTTTAGAAAGCTAAAAGCCTCAACGGAAATAACATAAAAGTTTCTAAAACACAGAAGTTCCTAAAAACAACCCTCTGTTTTCTTGTGCTTAGGCTTGTACAGCTGATGCTTATCAAAAGTCTAAAGTTGTTGCTTCTCGGCTTTTTAATTATAAGGCCAAAAACTGTCTTGGGATCCAAATGCAGCACACATGGTTGAACTCCTTGTCTGTTCTCCACCTTACTCTCTTCAGGCTCAAGTTTGCAGTCTTCCCTTGCAAGAGTAAGTCTTACTCTGTTCTATCTGCTCAGTTGGATTTGTTCAGCTTCATGAGGCCTACTTATAGCATAGAGATTATTTGCATGAGAAGTACAAGACTGAATCCTTACACAAGGAGTCTGGGACTTATGGCAATCAGCAGTTCCAGCCCATAAGAGGCCATTTCTCTTCTGCTATATTAGTATCTTGATTTTTGTGTTTGGTCTGCAGGTGATTAGCTAAAGCAACAAGGAATTTCTAATAATACCTCAAGGGCAACGTGTGCATGGATATGCGTTATTCCATACATACGGTTCTGGTGCTTATAAGGCCTATGTAAATACGTACACAGATTGTGGCAATACTACAAGCTTTCAGCAACTTGCTGGAATGACTGTTGCCATCGAATATGCTGTTCTTTCCCATCAAATGCAACCTCTCTGGACATTACACATAAAAGGTAAGTATCGTTTCATGGTAACTTTCCCGAGATATTGTATAGTGAGATCACAACCGGGGCGATACCCACAGTGGGCTGGGAAGGAAGAAACATCACTTGGTAGCTTTCACTTATCTTCACTTATTCAGCTCAGGACTGGGTCTCCCCTCCACATTCCTGGGTGGTAAAAAGCACTACTGTCTTACTCACTTAAACAACAGCAAATGGATGCTTATCACTGCTGGGCAAAAAAGGAAAATCAGCCCTACTCTATTCTAGACACCTGAATAAGGATAGAGATGTTCAATTTAAACATCTAGATCAGAAACTCTCAGTTCACGTTGCTTCTTAAATCTTAAACTCTTGCCTTTTTTTTCTTTTTTTTTCTCTTTTTTTTTTTTTGAATCCTGGCTGGAAAAAATACATGTATTTCTTTTTTAAACAGTACTGTTTATCATCCTTTTTGCAAAGTAACTTCAATATCTGGACAATTAAGGAAGAAAAATGCATTTTTGTTACAATCTCTGAACCGGAGAAAGCCTACCTGTGCTGTGAAACATTATATACCGTCTGCCACATCTGCAACATATGTCTGCAAGTCACCAGAGCCTCTTCAGGTCCTTTGTGTACCCATTCCAGTTTTACTTTGGTGAAGAGTAAGCTGCAAGATGAAAGAGAATTGCTTTGCTTTATTGGTGTCTCATAAATGGGATGTGAAGAATCAGCATCACTCAAGTAAGATCCCAGCAGCCAGCATTTTAACTTGCTTTTCACGTCCCCCTCTGCAAGAGAACAAGAATCCCCACACCGTTACACAAAACGTTACATTTGACTCAACTTTGATTCCCCACAAGGAAATGAGAGGATTAACGATATTCCTCAGCTGCGGTCAAATTTGCGTCACAAATCTGGGAGGGCGGCACTAAAGGCCATACATTGCAAAGTTAACAAGGCAAAACACACAGTGAATCTCATTTTAGTTTGGACAGCATGAAAAATAAAATAAAAATGAATTGCTGTAATACATGAGTTAATCTGCTTTTTTTAGCTTGACATCGTCTTATAGACCAATGTAGGGGAATAAATAAATTAAAACAAAAAAAAGCCAAAAAAAAAAAACAAAAAAAAACAAAGAAAACCCCACACACACTTAGGATACCTGGTCAATTATACAATGCCTCAGAGGAAGGAAACATTTCTTCCTTCCTAACCCCAGCTGTCAATCTTCTTATGCCCCTAGGCAAGACAACTGATAGCCCTTGTACATTTTTGTTCCAGCTAGCGTAACTGCAGCTGCTGTTCTTATACCTAGAGAATATGTACTTTCATTTCCAGACCACTGGAATTTAGCACAGTTAGGTCAAGGAGAGGCTAGAAGACAGATTTGGTAATGACACAACTTACTACTGAAGCTAGAAAAAGATAAGCATGCAGAACCGAGGGAACTTACCTGTCCCCTTCACTATCTTATATACCTACTCCAGTGTTTGCCTTTGCTTTTTTTGCAAAGATTGGAGCAAAACAAATGCTTTTAAAATCAGTTCCTGCTCCTAAAGACACTGAGCATCCTAACTGAAATGACGTGCCCTCACCATGGCTCAGGTACTTACTTCGAGGGCTCTCCTAGAAGTAAAAACGAGATAAAACTCAACGGAGTTGTTAATGATGGAAACTGGCCACTGAAATAAGTGTTTCTGTATCCCTTGGGTAGCTGGGCTGGTATGAACAAAGCTTGTTTTCCCACAGCAGAATATGAAATCGTGTGCTTAGGAGCAAAGAACATGTCACACTCCAAGGATGGGAGCTCATTCCCTGGAGTGCCAGGGTGTTACTGACTGCAGTCTCAGGAATGTGAGGTTCTTGAACAGTGACGCAGTGAGGAGGTCAAGCAATCGTTAGCACTTATATACACAAGCACTATCAAGTACGAGTTAGAAGATGTGATTATTTCTGTCTGCAGCATCAGCAAGAATTGCTGGAATCTAATGTCTAGTTCTTGTTTGTAAATCCTAAAGGGAGGCTAAAAATTGCATGAGGTTCAGTAAAAGGTTATGCTGGTGATCCAAAGTCTAGAACAACATATTTCATAAGAGGCTTAAGAACCTCTATAGATTTAGTTTATCCAAGAAACAGCAAAGAAATTATTTTGCTCCACCCTGCAAACACCTACACAGAGAGGAGATTTCTAACTGTGAGTCTTTGATCTAACAGAAAAGGCATCAGAAGATCCAAGGATGTGCTGGAAGTTGAAGCTCGTCAAATGGAGATTATAAATAAATGCAAATACTTAACCAGGAAAGCAAATAGCCTTTGCAGCAACTACACTGTGCACAATTAATTCTGTAGGCCTTGATGTCTTTTCAGCAAGGCAGGGTACCTTCCAGAAAGCTCTGATATTGCACAAGCAGAAGGTATGGGTTTGATGCAGAGGTTCATAAATGAAATTCTCTAGACTGTGCTGTGCAGATGGGGAGAAATGACATGACTGCCTACCATGCTTCTGGCAATGAATCCATTAAAAGTAGTCTACTAGTTTATGAAATCACTGCATCTACCACCAATCTATGCTATTTTAAGTGTACAAAATATCCTTTAAATCAGTATGAGTTTTCCCAGCAAAAGGTCTTCTTAGCCACTGCATGACCTCTCTTTTGTGACAGGAGAGTGGTGGTCAAGGAGCCTAGAGGAGAAAAACACATCCCTGAGCAACTCCGCATCCGTGGGTGTTAAAAGATACCAGTCATAATATAAACAGAATAAACAGAAGAACATAGGAATGAAACATAGGAATTTCATAGAAAATGAACATATAGAACATAGGAATTTCATAGGAATGAAAAAATAGGTAACAGTCAACTACTATATAGCAGGGATATATTAGCAGAGTTCCATGTCTGTAGGTATATAGATGGCTTAGTCATGTGCAGGCAGGCAAAGTAACTAGATAATAATTTAAACTGTACACTTAAATATTAAGATGACAAGCAGATTGCAGATATGTTTCTTTTCATCATTCTAATGCCTCCTGTTTACAGTGAATATACAACTCCTGTGGGTGAACACGTACCATTCTCTCTCAGGAGAGAGAATAATTAGTGAAACATAGGAAACAAACAAAACGGTCACAAAAACATAATGATGTCTCAGTAGGACATTATCATCAGTTGTAAGAAATAGGCACACAAAGGTTAAAAAAAAAAAAAAGAAATCACATAACTTCAGCAATTGCCTCTGCTCTGCGCCACTACCAAATCTCTGAGCTCCCAGGTGCGCCCGGAATGTGGCATTCACGTTCTTGCACAATGAATATAACGGAGCAGGGAGAAGTGCAAACGGGAAGAGAGCGAACAGCAAAAGGAAGCAAACATCCTGGCAACAAAAGTAATGCAGTAAAACGTGACCATTAGAAGGTGGAAATAAAGTCAGTACATTAGGCTGTACATGCTATCTGTATTCCACAGCTTCTAAGAACTTTTGCACCAGTAAAAAGAGATGAAGAAAAATATAAATACTTCTCAAGTGAAGTAGGTAACAGTGTCACTCATATCAAGTTTATGATTTTATTACAGAGACAGCTCTCTGGCTACACATAAATCTAATAGGTGTACTACCACATCAGCATGGGCACACAACTCTCATAAAATTCCCCATAAAAACTATGTATGCACACATCTCACTTTATTATATTTTCTTAATATCATTTTACTGCACCTTTGCAGGATGCTTTTAATGTTAAGCAGAGCAGATTTGTAAGAGATTCAACATAAAGAATAGCACTAAGATTATCAATATTGATATCTCATCCCTGAAAATGAAAACAAAGTGATCTTGGCTAAAGCAAAGGTATGAATTGTTAACACATAAGGAAAAGCAGCAAAAAATCCAGAGATCATTCCTGTAAATGTGTATAATTTAAGGGACAATTATAATGGAAAATCACCAGTGCTTGCTCCTGATACCGGACTCTAAGCTCCCTCTCCTAACAGTGTTTTTTTGTTTGCTTGTTTTTTTTAATCATGCATATGGACAGTACCTAGAAAAAAGGGCTCCTAATCCCGGATGTAATTTCATGTTACTGTCACAAGCTATCTATCATTGTTACGTTAATTCTTCCAAATTAAAATTTTTATATAGATAAATTAATTTGTATGAAGCTCTGAACATTTAAAATTAAGTTTCACATGCATCACTATTTCAGTTTGAGAAAAGGCGTAAGTGGTCACTAAAACGTGCCAAGCACTGACAAAAAAATAGGGACTGAAATACAGGAAAGCCTAATAAAAGTCTTAGCAAAATAAAGGTCTTTTGGTTGATTTCAGGAACTACTCAATAACTGTTTTCATAAATACTGATTTCAGGTGCTAATATTCAACAAGTCTCAAGGACTGGACAAACATACTTAATCCTCCTGAGAGATTTCTAATCCTGTGTGGCTAAATGCTCAGCCTTTAAGTTCTTTTATATTGTCCTTGAAGAAAATGTAGCAGTCAGTTCTTTCCTAATATTGAGAATCTATTGAGATTTCATTTATTAATAACTTGTGAACAATAAGTGATTAATACTTACTATCAGAAGGTTCAGATGTGCATACTGTGTACAATATATGCTTATGAGCACATTTATGAAAAGTTATAAGGTTTATTAATAATCTAATAAATTCTTGATGCTACAGGAGTATATAAAGATTTACTAAGCAGTAAGTTATTAGGAATTTCTAAGCTGTTTTAAAATGGATTTTTCAGTAAGAAATGTAGCCTTTTAAATATACATTTTTATGGCATCATCATGTAACCTCTGAGCTGTACTGTATGACAAGCAATAAATAATAACATTAAACAATAGCACATTCCACTGATTTTGAGTTCGAGAAACAAAATTAGGAATAACGAGGGTTATGTAGCCATTTATCTGTATGCTTTGCCACTCACTGACTGCTATTAACTACCCCCCAGTTTACTAGCCAGCTGCTCAAAAATTCATATTTCTTGGAGCTTTACCAGAGCCATGCGATCTTTTCCCAAGGCCTTCCCTTACTGACCCAGATTCTTTACCTCCTACACACGACTGCTGCACTGGTTTGGGAATTTGAAAACCGGAGGGGTTGTGGGGACGACTGTATATGCTACCATGAAGAACTCCGGCAATTAACATTTTGTTGTTTGCATTTTGTTGCTTTCTTTAAATAAACGAGGGGCTATGTGCTGGAGCGCGTGCGTGAGGCCGCGTGTGCGCGGCGGGAGGGAGCGCGGGGCGCCCGCCCGGCTCCGGGGGCAGCAGGCCGTGCCTGCTCGGCGGGGCCCGCAGCAGCGCCAGGAAACAGGGAATGTCCTGACAGGGAGTGGGGTAGGCGGCCTGAGGGTCTCCCACAGGATCCAGGCAGGGTGGATTCAAGTTCCTGACACACAGGAGCAGCCGTGGAGCCCAGGTGTCCCTCACCAGGAGCAGCACTTCCAAATCTGTTTTTTTTTCCCCTTTAAGGGAATGACTGTGAAAGGAGGACAGAGATGGATAGAGGACACGAGCTGATCTAATGGAACTAGAAAGGGGACGAGGCAGACAAGAAGAATGATCAAAGTTATGGAGCGCTTTTGATATATGGAGATAGTAAATAGACTTCTCAGCCTGGAAGAGAGTAGGTTGAGAGATGACAGAGATTTATAA